AGGGCCTACCAACAGTAACCCCTTAATAAGTGTTTGTGGGATTGTTTATTGGATTTTATTTCAAACTATTTAAGTTCAAACCTGACTTCTATTGAATAATTATTCTGAGACCTTTACTTAGTTATATGACTTTGGACAAATAATATGACCTCTTTGACTTTCAGTTTTCTGATCTGTAAAATGAGAAGATACTTCATGAATGGTAGCATGCCATGATAGAGAGAGAGCTGATCAATGAGTCAAAAACCACCTATGGAAAAGTCCTGTCTCTGGGTGATTATGTGACCCTGGGCAAGTCACTAATTTCTTAGTAGGGCAAGTCACTAATTTCTTAGTATCTCAGGAAACCATTGCAGAAACTTTGCTGATATGATTTGATGAAGGAAATTCTTGACTAGGATCTGCATATGTTAATGAAATCACAGTTCTAGTAAAAAAATAAAGAAAGAAAGAAATCAATAAATAAACAAACAAATAAATTAATAGGAGAGACAGAGAGACAAGCAGAGAGAAGGAGTAAAAACAAAAACCCTACCTCAATGGACTTTTGTAAGTATAATATGAGATTGTATGTGCAAAGTTCTTTGTAAATGTAAAATGCTAAATGAATGTGTTATTATAATAAATATAATAATGTAACCATTAGAATCAATACTCACTGACTTCCTGGGAATCTTCCTACCACTCAGATTCATTGTTGTTGCTGTTTTTTAAATAATATTTATATTATAGACTGGTAAAGGGATATGATCAATTCCCTTGAATGTCTTGAATCATCTGATAATTTCCTTCACTGTAGATCAGACCCCTGAAGGCAGCTTTGAGTTAGTGAATATAAATTTCTATGACCCTTCCTTCCCTAGGCTAAGTTGCAGTTCATATTGCCTACTGGAAAATGGGTATAGAAGGAAGCTGGTGCATATGTGTTAATTTCCCATGGGGGGCATTGCCTGATATCATTGTTGGGTTTATTTGGATGGTTTTCAGACCCTAATCATTGCAGTCCTGATCTCTAACTAAAATCTAACAATTTTCATTATGGCTAATTATGCTTGCCCACATGTCATGTTGCTAATTTAAGAGGCATGGTGGACTGCTAAAAAACACTCACATCTATAGAGTAGGCAAAGTTCATTCTCCTTTTCTTTCTCCTCCTCATTCTTCCAGTCACTCAGATTTCAAGTCTTTGAGTAATCCCTGACTCTTCCTTCTCCCTAAACCCCTGTATCCAACCAGTTGTTAAATTTATTGATCCTGCCTGTACAAAATCCATTTGCTTTTCTCCACTCAACAACTTCTCCCTAATTTAGGCCTTCATTAATTCCAGTCTGGACTATTGAAATAATCTAGTAATTGATCTGTATGACTCCAGTCTCTCTGTAATTTATCCTTTACACAGAAAAAAAAATCTTAAACTAGATCCCTGACCACATTATCCCTAGTCTTATAGAAGCACACTGACACAAACACAGAGACACACATGCACACAATACCAAAAACAAACAAACAAAATTATTGATTCCCTATTATATCTAGTACCAAGCATAAATCCTCAGCCTGGAATTCAAAGAAAACATATTATCTGGCCCTACTTTTTTACATACCACCACCTTGACCACCATCTTCCCTTGTACCTTGATGTTGACAAACCAGGACCCTGACCTCAAGAGCCTTGAGAATAGCAAACACTAGACCTACTTCCACTCCAGCCTGCATCGTCATCATTAAGTGAAAAAATCATTATGAAGAAAAGGCTCATCACCACCACCAATTGCTGACCAAATACCACCAATAAGTAGGAACTGGGAGTGGCAGCATCTCCTAGATGGCCAGTCTTGCTTCCAGCCCAGAATTTACAATTATGATACTGGGAAGCAATTCCTGTGAAGAAAAGGCTAGCCAACCCCACCAACTTTCAACCACCTGTCATTCAGAGAGTAGGCAGTCTAGCCTAGCTAAAGCACAAGGTACTATGAAGGAGATACAGGAGTCAGCACGCACAAGACAGATCAAACAGTGATCGCTACCTCCTTGACCTCCTTCTTCCCTCAGATCTTGATGGAGATAACTCAGGACCTTGAACTCAAAAAGAATCTGCCCACAACCATTATCCTAGGCAGTAATCACTGTGGAGATACAATTTGACAACTGCTCTGTAGCTACTACAGATGCATCTCTTGAATACCCAGGAAAGAAAGTTCTTGCCACCAAAGTCATTGGCTCTGTCAAATCATTCAACATCAGAAAGTGATATGATTTCATCAGTGGAAATTCCATTTAAAATGAGACATTATCATCTGCTTTTCAGACCACACCCAGGACCCTAGGACTGTTCCATGTGACTTACAGTGGAAACTCTCCATATTTGTTGTTTTCCCCATTCAGATGTGAGCTCCTTGAGAATAGGGCCTGTCATATCTATATCTATATATGTATATGTATATGTACATGTATATGTATATGTATATGTACATGTATATGTATATGTATATGTATATGTATATGTATATGTATATGTATATGTATATGTATATGCATATGCATATGCATATGCATATATATGCATGTATGTATATGTATGTATTTATGTATGTATGTTTGTATGTATATTATATATATATGTATAATGTATCTCCCTAGCATTTAGCACAATGCTTTTTTTAATAGAAAGTGTTTAATAAATAATTCATTTATTCATTCATTTATATACTTCCTATTATGATCAAATTTGACTGGAGCAGTTCTGCATTCTATATAATTCTATCATCACCTCATATCTTTGTACAGGTAGTAACACATAACTGGAAAAACACTTTATCTCTATCTTATAGAATTTCTAATATCTTTCAAAGCATAGCTCAGTACCATCTTCTACGTAAGACCTTTATTGGTCACCTCATTCCCTGTGTTATTAGGGAATATCTTCCTTCCTTCTTGATGTGACTGTAATCATCTATAATTATTTATGTATGTAGAAGCCTTATGCCCTCCAGTAAAACATATGCTCTTTAAGGCCAGAAACTGAACCATTTTGTCTTTGTATCCCCATTGATAAACAGTGCCTTGCATGTCATGGGAGCTTAATAAAACTTTTTTTTTAAATCATTTTCATTGTTATAAACAGCACCATGATCACCAGCTTCTGACTAGCTCAATAATACCAAAGAACCAAGAAATATTGGTACCCTCTCCACTTTCCTATGACTTTGTATGTGGTTCCATGTGGTTTAAAAAAAAGTTCTTTACTTTATGATCAGCCATCTAACAAAGGCCTGTCTGCATTTTCTGTCCTTATATATAAGATCCATGTTTTGTCTCTAGCCTTATACTCCTTGTCCATCTGGTAAAGAACTGCTGTAGCTTGGTCATTACTGGCCTATCATTCAAGAGCCCATGGTCTACAGAGGGAAATTGTTCATTAGTGAATTGTTTATTGTTCACATTAATATCTGTGATAAAATTCTGATATATAAGATATAGAGGGAATTAACAAAAATATATAAGAAGAACTATTCCTTAGTTGCTAACAAATAGTTCTGAAAAGGACAAATAGAAACAGCAGCAATATGAAAGATCACTTCAAGATGCTAGTAACAGAAATGCAAATTAAATCAGCTCTGAGATTTCATCTCACAAACAGAAAAATAACAAATTAGGGAAAAAAATGAAAGAAATAGTCAAGGTGGGAGGAACTGTGAGAAGATGGACGCAGTGATACCCTGTTGGTAGAGCTGTCAGAGAATCATAGATGGGAACTGGAAATTACCTCAGAAACCACCGAATCCAACTTCCTCATTTTAGATAAGAAGTGACTTATCTGAGATCATAGGGATAGTAAGTATTGGAAATGGAATCTGAACCCAGCCCTCTGATTTCAGAGCCAATATTCTTTTGAAACTGTGGGGTAAAATAAGTAAAATGACCATATTCCAAAATGCTAAGCATGTCAGAGATCTGAGTGCTAAGCATGCATACCAAAGAAGTCAAAGGCAGACTGAAAAATACCATGTATTACACAGTAGAACTTTTTATATTAATAAAGAAATGGGCAGTCAGTATTCATAGACTATGGTCTATCTAAACAAATGATGGTAGATGTATGTAAAGGAATATTACTGAACACTAAGAAATGATGAAGAAGAGGAAGTTGGAGAAATATAGAAAACCTATCAGCTGATGAGAAGTGAAATAAATGGAATCAGGAAAGCAATATGCATGTCTATAACAATCTACAGTGAAACAATAACAGGAAAGTGAATGAAAGGCAATTATCATGACTGAGCTTGGTCTTGGAAAAGAAATAAGAAAACATAACTCCATCCTTTTGTTGGAGAGGTTGGAAATCTTGGTAGTAGACTATATGGTATGAAGTCAAACATAACTAATGTATTAGTTAATTTTGTTTTACATTAAAAATAATAATCTTTGTTACTACAAAAGGAAGTCTTACTGGATGGGGAGAGGATAGATACATATTAAAGATAATGTGATTTTTAAGAAGACATTATTAGAGCTGAAAAGAGAGAGATTGTGGTACAAGGAAGCGGTTGGCCTCAGAGTCATAAAGAACTAGGTTAAAGTCCCACCTCAGAGCTAGATACTCAGTATGAACCTGGGAATGTCACAGCCTCTCTGTGCTCCTGTAACTTCTCAGCCCTCCCCCTCCCACTTAGGAAGTCGGGATTAAGTGACTTGAGCAGGATCACACAGCTACTAAGTATCTTAGGCCACATTTGAACTCAGATCTTTCTGACTCCAGGGCTGGTGTTCTATCCACTATGCCATTTGGCTGCCCCTGTAGTAACTCTTAAAGCTATGTTACAGAGAAGGTGCCAATATGTATTTGTAAAGGAATTTGGGGGCAAGGCATAACACAGAAGACAGTCTGAATGAACATGTTATCATGACAAGATCAGGGATAAAGAAACCTTCCAAAATGTTCAGGATTCACTCTTGAAAGTTTTTTTTAAAATTTGTTTGTTTTTTTTGTTTGTTCCCAGAGGTGGCTGTAATACACAGAGGTGCAGGCTAGCAGAGAACTCTGAGGAGTGGTCATTGTATAGAGAGAAAGCTGATCTCCACTCCCCACCATTGCACACAAGGATTTTTAAGAATTGGAAGGACATTCGAGACACATTAAAGAATGATTCAAAAAACATTGCCTCAAGTGGTAAGTTTATTGCTTTTGTAGTTCCTTTTCTTAACAGAAAAAAATGAAAAAAAAATTCATTTTTAGAACCCCCTTGCAATCCCAGAGGTATGAAATGGGTACAATGGGTAGAAGTTACAAAGAGGCAAATTGAGACTTGATATAAGGGGGGAAAATGTCCTAAGAATTAGAACTTATCCTAAAGGGGAATGGGTACTTTGGTAAATGGTGCATTTTTCTTCCCCAGAGATCTTGCAAAGGCCAAATGACCACTTATTTCATTCATTGGAGAAAAGATTCTTGTTTAGATATGAGTTGGATGAGATGGTGATTGAGGTCCTGTGATTCAGTGGAAGATGAAAGCTCCCATGCAGCCACATCACCCTCTTCAGTCACCACCAGTAAAGTCCTGGAGCTAGCTCATACTAGACAATTACGCAAGGGTTAAATTTCCAGCACAAGCCTTTATACCTTGGAAATCAGAAAATACTACAAATCAGGGCTTAATTTATAGCTTCATTGATTGCCTAAACTTAATGAAGTGATTAACAAAGTGTTAATAATGCAGATTAAACTTCAAAATGTTTTGTAATTACATTTTTTTGAAATCCCAAAGAGCCAGTTGTTAAACATTTACTAGCGCACACCTGATCACCAAACCCTATTTCTTAGTCATTAGGCTAATTTGCAATGCTATCCTCAGAATCTTGGTTGGGGGCATTAAAGGGACTCGGTGATTTTTGTTGGCTGGAGTTATAAGAGAATATTTTTCTTTTGGGAAATGTGGCTTGAACTGTCTTAAAAGAGAGTTGGAAGATGGGAAGCTTTTATATAAACAGGGAATGGAAAGGAGGATACTTGGTTCCTATAATCAAAATCTGACACGAACTTTAGAATGTCCTATTCTATTCTGAAGACTTGCTTAAGAGAAAGAAAAGGTGGGGTGCAGAGAAAAGAAATGTGATTAATTAGGAAGTACTAAATCTCTTGCAAAAATAGCTATGTCAAAAATAAGATTAAAGAACGTGTCCTTGGAAAAAGAGAACACATTTAGATGAGTACAAGCAGATGACACATAGAGCAATTAAAGGGAATTGGTTAATGAAATCACAGAATTATTTAAAGTTACTTAGGGGAAAAAAATCATACTAAAGCTAGACAAGGCCAAAAAATGAAAAGAAAAATAACCGTGTATGACACTGATCTTTGCCACTATTCCTTCCACATGTAATTCTTTCCCCATTTCCCTCCACGCATCCAAAATTCAAAACAAAAACATCATAATAAATGATCTCTCTAGCCTCCAATCCTATTATTCTCTGTTGGGAGAGGATGAAAGTTGTTTCCATAACAAGTATCTGCCCTAAGTTCTCTTAATGATACACTATGAAGCTGTCATTCATGAATTTATCACAGGTTTAGCCTATAGAAAGCTTAAGAAAAATTTTTTGCATATTCCAAGGGATAACATGTCAACAAATGTATGACTTGTTCTGCCCCAATGGGCTGAACTAGAAGCAATGCGTGCAAGTTACTGAGAGCCAGACCCCTATCTAATATTGGGAAGAGTTTCCTAAGAAATGGATGGCCCAAGGATAAAAAATGGCTGCCATAAAAAACAATGAGTTTCTTGTCATTGGAGGCATCCAAGCAATCAAACCTTAATCAATTCACAAGTATTTATTAAGTGCTTCCTATATGCTCAGCATTGTAGTAGCTGGGGATATAAAGACAAACAATGAAACCATCTCTACTTTTAAGAAGCTTTATTCTAGAGAGGCAATAAATAGACATTTAAGTATATACAGGATAAACACAAACACAACAGACTCGATGATCTCTCATCAAAATGTTGTAGACAAGGTCTCAGTTTTAAATGTGAGTTTTAAATTCCTTTCAGCCGTAAGCATTTGTTTTGTTGTTATTGCTGTTGTTGTTGTTCACTCATGTCCTACAGTGACCCCATTTGGGGTTTTGTTGGCAAAGATACTGGAGTGGTTTACCATTTCCTTATTCGGCTCATTTTACAAATGAGGAAACTGAACCAAACAAGCTTAAGTGATTTGACCAGAGCCACACAACTAGTAAGTATCTGAGACCAGATTTACACTTGGAAGATGAGTCTTCCCAACTACAGCCCAGCACTCTATCCACTGTACCACCTAGCTGCCCTAAGAATCAGTAAAGCCTAGGCATTTCTGGCGCCCTTCATCCTCTCTGCCAATATAACAGTTTTTTTCTATAAAGCTGAGGGAGGTCTTACAATAAAATAGCTCTAGGTAGCATTGATATAACATCTACTTACTATATGTTAGGTACTGTGCTAAGTGCTTTACAAATATTATCTCATTTGATCCTTACAACAAACTTGAGAGGTAGATGCTACTAATATCTGCATTTTACAGCTGAGGAAACTGAGGCAAATAAGCACTTAGTGACTTGTCCAAGATCACACAGTTAATATGTGACTAATGCTGAATTTGAACTTGAGTCTTCCTGACTACAAGTAAATCTAATGGTCTATCCATCATTTCACTTAGTTGCCTGACCATCAACTTGGGGGAATGCTTTATACTATATTAACTATTCATGTGATTTTTCCTCCACTAAAGTCTTCTTCCAGGACCTGAAGTAATGAGGTAACCCTGTTTTCTTATAGGCTATGAAAACGTGGTATAAAAGCTTGAGAAGATCCTACCAAGCTGGAAAACCTTTGAACCCAAGGCTGATTAAAGACTGGATCAAACAAGATATGGAGAGCTTCATCACCAGACGGTTGGCCACTAGGACATGTCCCTTCACTTTTTTCCTTTGTTTTCTTTGTTTTGTTGTTACTGCCATTAATTTGGTCACAGCAACTCATGAAAACACTAATATACTCATTGAAGGGTGGAACAGTCTATGATCTTCCGTGATTAAGAATGAAGGCACGTGTATTAAATCATAAATATTTTAAAGCATAGACTATATGTGTGTACATACATATGTTTGTGTGTACACACTAGAACACATGAGTATGTGTATATATGTATGCATGTATAATAATTCCTGCCCTCACGGAGCTTACATTCTATTGAGTAACCTAGGAACATATAAGTGGAGTGGTAGACAGGGGAGAGATTTATGGTCTGGGAAACCACAATGATTGTGACTAGAACAATAGAGTAGTCCATTAACAAATGCATTAATTAATGGCTTACTGTTTAATCCTCTTCATATGGTAATTTTCTAGTAGGTTTAATGAACTTTTAGCCAGTTCAGTTCCAGAGACGGTGCTTAATAAGAGTGTCAGTGAGATTATGATGATAATACCAGTAAGCATTGAGTAAATGATAAAATGGGGACATAATCTGTGAGGGAAGATTACTTGCTAACAAACGGGAGCTTTTGTGTTTAAACCAGAATTATAACATGCTTAGGTGGAAAGGTGAATAGGAGTGGTGATCAATCATGGGAGAATACTAGAAAATTTTGTATTTGAATTCAAGTTTCTGTACTGATAACACTGTGTGTTCGACCTTGGGCAAATCACATAACCTTGATGTGACTCCTTGTCCATTTTTGACATGGAGATAACAGGATATCTTATTTCACATGCTTTTTATTTGTACTTTATGCTTCCATGATCAAAGGGGCAGGATCAGAGTCCTGTACTCTGCTATGAGAGCAGGAGTTAGCTGGGAGCCTCAATGCTGGCCTCAGCAAGGACTCAAAGACATAATTTCCTAAAACAAATGACAAGTCTCATCCCAAATATAATCCAGATCATGAGTGCTGGAAATCAAAGTGTAGATTGTCAGGAAATAATTAGGCAGATTGAGACAATGTACCTTGAGGGAAAAGGGAAAAGCTATGTACTCTCCAAATAAAGAGTTTCAGTCTTCTATGATAAAGGCATTAAAAACCTTAACCAAGGGGAAAAGCAAAAGACCTTCCTATACTGAGTTCAAAGCAGAGTTCCTTCCAGTTCAGTTCAATTCATTTTAGTCTTTATTAAGTGTCTGCCATGTGCAAGATACTGCAGGAACTAGAATGTATAATTTGAGTCCCAAACTCCATTGGTATGAGGTCTCTCTTCATTGATGGAGATCAATGTCCCAAGCCTAGACTGATTCAGACTCCTAAGTTTTTTGAATCTCTTGGGGCTTTGCAGGTACTTTGGTCATTTTCTCAAGAGAGAAAATGAATGGTGCAAACCCCACTTCAGGGTGCTAAAGAAAGAATAAAACTCTGAGAAGATATCAGTATGAGAAGAACTAGCATTCTCCACCATGTACCTTTCTTCATCATGTACCTTTCTCCAGCTTGCTACTCAAAATACTATGGGAAATTCCCCCTGGGTGAGATCTGGAACACTTTCCCTTGATTGAGCTGAGTTACCTTGTCCCCAGTGGGAGAGCTCCTTCACTCTCTATTTGCTGGTATATGTTCTCCAGTGGATACTTGCTCTAACTTCTGTTTTGCCATTAACTTGGATAAATGGGATTTCCTTGTTATCTATTATGTGTGCGTTCATTGTGGAATTGGTATTTGGTGGGAAGGAAGTCAGGCCTTGGATATACAGCTTGTGATTCTCCTTTCCTCATTAATGAATAGCAATCAGAAGTTTACCTTGAACATGAAAACCACATCCCCTAGACAATATTTATGGAAGCAGATAGACATATTTCTAGCACAGGACTGCCTCTCTCTGAGGAGAACAGAGTGACTAAGATTTTGGCCTCAAACTCTTGCTTCCCCTTATGGCAGGAATTCAAATCTCCCTTGGAGAAGGATGGGGGAAAGAAGAAAATAGAGATACCTATTCTGCTTAGCTTCGAGTCACTCACCAAACCCCCATGTTATATGTGGGGGACAGTCTTTGCTGTGAATGAAATACAAAGTTTGTATACGTCAATTCTCAAGAATTTTTCCTTTCATCCTGCTCACCGTCCCATCTTCCAACTTTAGAAACCACTCTGCTTTAAGGCCTGGTTCTCCTAACTGCCTACTAAGAACACTATTTCAGGAGGGTCCCTAACTAGGTTTTACTTTTCTCATGACAACTCTCTGTACTTTCTTTCAACTGCCTTTCTTTTGGATACATTTTTATCAAATCCATCCCCTTTCCAGATTTTCTCTTTGTGCTATGTTCCCCATCAGAGTATAATCTCTTTGGGGATATAAACTGCCTTTTTTTTTTTTGGTGTGTTTATATCTCCAGGAATAGATACAGTATCTGGTACATAAAAACCACTTAATTGATCTATCTTTAAAGCAAGGAGGGTGGCAGAGATCGCCAGATTGATGGAATGCCAAAAGCGAAGAGTTAGAAAATTCTGAAGAGTGAAAAGTGGTGTGGTGGATTGAGTGTTCATGGCCTGGTAGCCTTATGAAATGGTGGTCTAGGCTGGGGACTCACTAATTGGGAGAGATAATCACAGGACAGAGGCATCTCCTGGGTAAGAAGGCTGCTAACCCTAGACTGAAGAAGTCAGAAACATGCAATTGTGGAGAGAGGGTAAGTCTTGTAATCAGGAGGCGATGGGCTCAAGTTCTGTCTCTAACACACTGGTTTTATGATCATGGGCAAGACACTCAGGGGTGGGGAACCTGCAGCCTTGAGGCCTTGCGGCCTTCCAGATCCTTAAGTGAGGCCTTTTGACTTAATACAAATTTTATAGAACAAATAAAAATTTTATTAAAAGGATTTATGTTCTAATGTTCTAAGATCCCTTCCAGTTTAGAACTCTGCAGTCTGGCTCTACCCTCACATTCCAGACCTTTTTTCTCTTGCTTTCTTTCAGTTATTCTGCATTTTCCAAAATGGGCACCATGTCTTCTACCTCTATACAGTCACAGGGACCTTTCTGAATGCCTGCAATGTACTACCTCCTCATATTGGCCTTTCACAAAACCCTGCAACCTTTCAGTGTCCCCAGGGAGCTTTCTAAAACTATAAATTATAAAAGGGTTTCCAATCTGCATGGATGGAGTTTCTTAGTGAATGATTCAATTTACATATTATTTCTCTTTATAAAAGAGAAAGAATCAGGGTAGCAGAAGAGTCCTTGAGAAAAGTAAGGGAGATACTTGAGGGTGGGTAGGAAAAAGAAGAGCAAAGGTGGGTACATAAATGGTTATATATGATGGGAGATCTAGAAGGCATAAAAATGAGTATGAATGAATGAATGAATGAATGAATGAATAGATGAATGAAATATGAAAAGGTACAAAATATGTATGAATGAAATACTTTATGTCATTCACTAATCTAGACTCTGGGCACACAAATCAAAAGAGCTGGATAGTCTCGTGAGTTGGTGGATGGCAAGTTCCACAGGTCTTTAGGCTACTTACATTAAAATTAGAGTGTCAGTGTTCTACAGGACATGGAGACTGAGAAGAGGGTAAGGCTTAGTAAGTAGTTTAGAAGGGTGTGGGGGTGGTAAGTGGAAAAGTATGATGATCGTCCATCTCTTCTAAAAGAGTGGAGTAGTTGGCTTCAAACTCATTCAAACTCTATGAACAGTCAAGCAATCCAGACAAGGGGGAAAGTAAAGGAGCAAGGTGTCCTCAGTGGTGACATTCTTCTTGTCCAGCTTCTCCAGTTGTTTCTGAATCAACTCAGGTGAGGGGGGAGAGATAAAGAGAACCATTCAGTTTTGTATAAGGTTAGCTCTGTTGGGAATTGTTCAAGATGAAGTAGTTCTTGCAAGGGTTACATAAGTTAATTCCTTTCAAACAACAACTATAAAATGTCACATCCAAGGTTCTGTGCCAAGTCATGAAGACACAAAAACAGTAAACAGTCTTTGCCCTGGGGTGTGTATTGGGCTATGGTGGGAGGAAGTGAAAAGGAGGGGACTATGCATGCAACACAGAGATGGAAAAAATGTAAAAAATGTATGTATGTATATATATATATCCTGGGAATATTTAAGGAACAAAAGAACATTCTTACGCTAGGAAGATAAATGAATACCAAGGAAGTATTCAAGGTGGATTTAGCACCGTGACTCAACATGCCTATGACTTAGAGTTCTAAGGGTAGGCCTAAGGGGTATGTGTGTATTCTTCTAATGCTGTAATGCATGAGTCCCCCATGAGTGTGTGTTCCATTATCATTATGAGCTGATATCAATTACTCAGCAAATCTTTTTTTCGCATTTTAGCTTCCTCCAATTATATATGAAAACAATTTTTAACATTCATTTTTAAAACTTTGTGTTCTAAAATCTCTCCCTTCCTCCCTTCCCACCCCCTCACTGAGAAGGTGAACAGTTCAATATAGGTTATACATGTATACTCACACAAAACGTACTTCCATATTAGTCATACTGTGAAAGAAAACATAGACAAAAAAAACTAAAGAAAAATAAAGTAATAAAAAAGTATGCTTGAGTCTTTAGTCAGACACCATTGTTCTTTCTCTGGGAATGGATTGCATTTTTCATCATAAGTCTTTCAGAGTTGTCTTGCATCATTGTATTGCTGAGAATAGCTGAGTCATTCACAACCAATAATTTTACAATATTGTTGTTACTTTGTACACAGTAAATGTCACTTTGCATCAGCTTCTGTAGGTCTTTTCAGGTTTTTCTGAGAAAATCCTTCCCATCATTTCTTATAACATAATATTATTCTATCACAATCACATATCACAATTTGTTCAACCATTTCCCAATTGATGGACATCCCCTCAATTTCCAATTCTTTGCCACTGGAAAAGAATTACTATAAAATTTTTTGTAGATGTGAGTTATTTTCCTTTTTGTTTTCTTTTGTCTCTTTTTGGTTGCAGATCTAGTAGTGGTATTACTAAGTCAAAGGGTAAGCATGAT